GATTGTTGCGACTGTGATGTAGCTCCAGCCGCTGGACCAGAAGAAGAAGGAGAAACAGTCTGTGCGGCTGCTGCAAACGTACCATTTGGCTGTGTGCCAGCTTGTACCGGAAAGGGGCCTGACATCACCGTTAACGGCAACGGCGACTGTGCTGCTGGCCGTAATCCTGGCCTTTGCAAAAGGTCCAAGATTTGGTTCAAGGAGTTCTGCATGAAATCCAGCCTGCTGTCCACATGCGCATGCAGTGACAGTATGCTGGACCCTAAGACTTTCATCGCGGCAGACATTGCTGAATCATCTAACTCCTCTAGTGCAGCTTTGTTTGCCTCTAACGTATCAAGCCTGGCTGTTCTATTTCTAATCTCGTTTTCTCTATCGGTAGCTTGCTTGAGTTCCCTCTCTAACCGCGTGCGGATCCTCTCGACTTGTTGGAGCTCTTGTAGCTCTCTGCCGCGTGGGGTCAACAGACTGAACTACGAGCCCGCCATTTGACTTGTGGACTGACTGGAACCTACTGATCCAGAAGTACCCGTGGGCCCAGGGGGCATCCCCAACTGGGTCCCAGATGAGGATGCAGCAGAGGATGCTGCAGCAGCAGCCATTGCTGCTGCGCTGGCTGCTGCTGTTGCCTGTTCCCTAGCTGCAGCGTTTGCTGCTGCTAACGCCTGACTTGCAGCTAGTGCTGCTTCCCTGGCTGCTGCGTAAGCACGGGCTCTAACTTCGGCACGAAGCCGTCTTTCGTCTCCCGGCCGTAGGGCCTGAAACACGTGCGGGACCCTACGTGATCTCAAACGTGTCAGCCTCACATCGTCAACTCTACCCTCATCGGCGTCTGACCCACTCATCAGCTAGGCAAACACTATCTGCACTACAGCTCCCTGCTGGAGTCCTACCACAGCATGTGTCTGACCGGCACCTAATTTTCTAAAAATAAACGTGTCCGGCAGGTCCCCTACTTAACCGATCAAGTGGCGGCCTACAACGTTCACAAAGACTGTAAACACAATTTAATTTTATCCAGATTAGTTCTCTTACAGAAGCTTTGCATAGAACTGGCTATGGTAGTATACAACAGTCTGAAACTAAGCTGTCTGTGAGGTGTTAGCAGTTTGTCAACCAACTAATCAAAAATAAAACTAAATTATGTTGCAGATGTATGAACAGTGGAAATTGTTGTGTTTACAGTTGAGCACCAATTGGAAACTACCCTCCCCTCAATCCAACATACCGATGAGCATCAATGAGCAGCAGTGTCATAGGTGTGCAATGTCGGCCCACCCCTGTGCCCCAGGTGCATGCTTATGACCAGGCTTGCCCGTTCTTTATCCTCGCGTGCAATGAGCCGTACGTCCGACTGATCTGGCTGATCAAGAGGCCTATTTAAGGACTGCCCCCAAGGTCGCTCAGGAATTATTTAACGTCGCAATCAGGATGACGATCACAGCCAGTGGACAGATCGGAACCCCATCCAGAAATGTTTATAGACCGTCTGGGAGCGTCTGCATAAGCCTGTTCAGTCCGCACACCCCTCTATCAGCGCAGCAAAGGGCCCGAATGGACGAAGCAGCCATCACATGCGTGTACTAATCCCATTGGGTTGGCATGGTGACCGTGACCCATGTGCTTCGACCAGGGCCCTTCAGAGGCACCGCCCTTTCTCCTTCCAGATGCACCACCGGGAAGATTGTCGTCTCTCAAGGTAGAGCGCTCACGACTTCTGACCAAAAAGAGAGGACTCTCAAGTTGAACTCACTTCCTCGCGGTAAGAAGAGATTGAGAGGGTAGATAAGGTCAGGGAACAACGTACCTGGAGATAGCTGCCCCCAACCACAAATTTCTCACCAATTGAGCCGAATGTGCATTTGATGACCGGTTGTAGCCTCGGGTACCACCCACAACGCAATGCAGTGCCACCTCAGCCAAATGCCACATCAGCATGCTCTCATCACTATACATACATTCTGCCGTCGCCACGGCATTCCAAGCCGTATAGCCTTCCGGCGCGCACCTCTCTACCCAGGTCGCGCGCCTATTTTCGGCCCGACATCACAACAACCAACTGCGAAGAAGCATCGTCAACGCACCAAGTCTGTATAACGCCGGCGCACCAAGGTAAGCCGCGAATCGAACCAGCTCCGATACCAAAATTGCAAGGAACATGAATGTTGACAAAGCACAAAAATCCAAATTGCAAATCACGCTGAAGTCCAAGTAGTCAAAGCAAGAGCAGATAGCACATTGGAACCCAGACAACCATCCATTGAGAACGATACAGCAGAATCGCGAGTTAATGTCCAAGCCCAATTGGGCAACACCAACAACATAACCCAATGTAGCTCTTTCTCTTGAATGGCGCCAGGCGCCCTATCTACACTATAGCCTATCACTACAACTACAGCATGGAAGCAACCAGACGACTTGACGACCAGCGAGTGATGACGTCAACACCAATGCCGACTTCCTCCTCTTCCAGGTATGTCTCTCTCTCTTCCCTCACTCTTCCTTGTTATCCCACACAGCGCCCTTCACCTTCCGAACAACCACCTTCGCCCTCACCTCCTCCAGCGCTCTCATGCAGCCCGGCTATGGCTGCCAGCACCCTGCGCCCAGGCTGCGCCCTACCGCTTAGTGCCAGCCTGCCTTCTCTCAGCCTAGCGCAGCGCAGCACCTCGCAATGCAACAGCGTGCCCGTCTTGCTCGCAATGGCCAAGTCCCCTATCTACTCTATAGCCTATCACTACAACTACAGCATGGAAGCAACCAGACGACTTGACGACCAGCGAGTGATGACGTCAACACCAATGCCGACTTCCTCCTCTTCCAGGTATGTCTCTCTCTCTTCCCTCACTCTTCCTTGTTATCCCACACAGCGCCCTTCACCTTCCGAACAACCACCTTCGCCCTCACCTCCTCCAGCGCTCTCATGCAGCCCGGCTATGGCTGCCAGCACCCTGCGCCCAGGCTGCGCCCTACCGCTTAGTGCCAGCCTGCCTTCTCTCAGCCTAGCGCAGCGCAGCACCTCGCAATGCAACAGCGTGCCCGTCTTGCTCGCAATGGCCAAGTCCCCTTTCACTCGCCCGCTCTGCCTATATCCAGTGTCGCGTGTGAGCGGCCTACTTCGAGCCTGCGCCTGGGTCCCAGTATCTGCGCCCAGGCCCAATGCAGATGGGGCCCAGGTAATACAGTTGCGCCCCTTAGGCTAGGACCGTTGTCCAGATTCAGACCGCGTACCGGTTTCCCATGGGTTTCCTCGGCCTCTACGACAAAATGCTGCTTTTCCATAGGCCAGGGTCTAATGTGTGATGTGTCGGCCTCCCGGTCTGTCGCCCAGGACTCAACCAACCGAGGCCCTGGGCTCAACTGCCTCTGCAGGAGTCTGAGGCTCCCGATGCACTCCAACCAACTGGCGAGCGGCAACTGTCGGATACCCACTTTGTGAAATGCTGAATGAAGGCCCCTCGTGGATATTCTGGCCCGCCTTCACTTAGGGCGGGCACGAGGCATGCTGGGGGTCTATGCCCAGAACATATGCATGTCGGCAAGGCCCCGTTGAGGGCGCAATCCTCACAAAACTTTAAAGTTTAAACTTAATTGGGGGTGTCCTAAGTTTGATCTCTTTATTTCCATTTCCTATCTTAGATTTAATAAAGACCCTGAAACGTATTTCTAATTTTTTTTTTCCAGAGTTTTTTTTATTTTCAAAAGTTTTGAAGTTTTCTGATTTTGCGCTGGGGCTGCCCAGGACCTTGCCCTGGATCTTCCGGGCAGCTAGAGGCAGCCCGGATGCCAGGGTAGTTAATAATGCATTAAAATGTAAATTTAATATTTATCATGGTTGCCCCGGACACAGACATCCGGACATCCGGACAACCAGACACAGTCACCGGACCCGTGTCTGGATTAAACCGGACGTCCGGTTAACTGGACATCTATCCGGACATCCGGACAGTCCGGCTGGGTGTATCTGTGTCTGGTTGTCCGGTAAAAAAAAAAAAAAAAAAAAAAAAAAAAAAAAAAACGGCACACGTGAGACGAACACAGGCACACATAAGTTTGTGGGTCAGGTCCAACATGCTAATAAAAAAATTGGAAATATTAACGTACGAACTTCAAAGTTTGGAACTTGGAATCTTGAACTGGCACACATGACACACACACACACACACACACACACACACACACACACACACACACACACACAGAGCAACGTTCCACACTGCTCCAGCCCCCAAGCATCAGCTCCACTCCCGCTCCAGCCCCCAAGCATCAGCTCCACACCCGCTCCAGCCCCAAGAACTTTGATGTTCCAAACTTCAAAGTGCGGAACTTCGAATCGTGAACCGGTAAGACGACAACCTCCTCGTCGGCGGCAATCTCCTGGACTCTCTGGGCGATGGGGGAGTCGAGATGGTGATGGCGTGGCTGCAGTGGGCGGGAACTTCGAGGAGAGCACTGCTACAACAGAGGGAGCAGAGCATGCTACACCAGAGGGAGCGCTGCTGCACGAGGCGCTTCGATCGAAAATGCGGTCCTCCCGTCAGTGGGAAACCAACACCAGGATATTGCGGCTGCTAGTTCCCACCGAAGTTCTCCAACAGCGGGCCCTTCAGGGCCGGTCCGGTTGGGGTGACGGTCGACAAAAAACTACAGCAACAATTTTCTGGGGTACCCCAGGCCCAGGAAGATGGCCTGGGGACCCCAATTTTTTCTTTTTTTCGAATTTCTTGAAATGCAAGGAAAATGAGCGATAGCGAATTCCAGAAACCAAGCAGCATCATACACACGAAACCAGATAGCCGTGACCTTGAACCAAAAGAAGAATTGCAACTCGAGTTCCACCAAATAAGAGCACAGCAAAAGCTCACAAGTGACTATGTTGGAATAGTCTCATCGTCATCAACAAAGAACCAATGTCGATTTCCTATCTGGCGCTCCGCGCCCAAACTACAAATGGCAGATCCTATCTAGCCTATCTACAATGCCGCTGGTGACGTCAACAGCTCCTCGAAGTACGAGCAGATCTCGGCCAATGCCGTTCGCCTCAAGCACCAGGTATGTCTCTCACATCACTCACAACCTCGATCCCCCACACAGATGCCACGTGCACCCAAGGACCACCATGCGCCCCATCCAGCACCTGGCAGGCCAACTCGGCTATGGATGCCTGCGCATCCCTTGCTCGCCTGTGAGCGCGTGGGCGCTTGCCTGCTTGTAGCGCAGCAGCGCTTGCGCAGCATGTAGCAAGTGCCCGAATGCCGAATGCCAGGGCAGGCACTTTCCTAAATGGAAGTGGCCTGCCTGCTGCGTGCGGCCTAGCTGCGCTGGCCCCCTGCCCAGAAGCGTCCGATGGGCCCTTAGGTGTCTGAGCCCCAGTCCAAACGAATCAGGCCCAGGGCCTATGGCGGTTACCCGTATTCAACTGCCCGCAGCCTGTGTTCGGTCCATGTTGCATATCTTGCCCACGGCCTGCCTCGATAACATTTGAAAAAGGCAGCCGGGGTCTGGGCGCTCTCAACCAACTGGCGCTGCGCAACTGCCTGAATTTCCCCAGTTGCGTGGTAGCCGAAATAGGCCTCTTGACCTCGGTCGGGCCTGCCTTCACTTTGGGTGGCCGACACTGTTGAAAACAGGGCGCAGTAGGGCTCATCGAAGCCTTGAGCCTCGCAGAAATGAGGGTCCAGCCGGACCCTCCAAACCGGACACCAGAAACCGGACTGTCTGGATCGGGATCTGGACGTCCAGTTGGCAACCATTTAATTTAAATTATTTAATAAAATTTATGTCCTCATTGGCCTTTTCCATTTGAACTGGAATGATACAGAGAATATTTATCATGCGAGGCACAAGGCCTCGATAAGCCCTACCGGGCCCTTATTTGCAACAGGTCGGCCGCCCTAAGTGAAGGCAGGCTGGACAGACGACAAGAGGCCTATTTTGGACTACTTTGCAACTGGGGTAAAATTCAGGCAGTTGCGTAGCGCCTGTTGGTTGAAGGCGCCCAGGCCCTGGCCTCCTTTATCAAATGTATCTCAGTCAGGCCCTGGGCAAGATACGCAGCATGGACCCAACTCAAACTGTGGGCAGCTGGGCACTGGTAACTGTCGGTGGCCTGGGTCTGATCCGTTTGGACTGAGGCTCAGCCTCCCTGGGCCTATCTGGGCCGGGGTCCAGTATCGCAGCACAGCACGCAGCAGCAGGCCACTTCGCATTGGACATTCGGGCACTGGCTGCATGCTGCGCTAACGCTGGCCAGGCTCACGCGCTCATGGGCGAGCTGGAAGGAGCAGGCAGCCATAGCCGAGCTGCGCTGCTGTATGCTGGATGGGGTGCATGGTGGTCCTTGGGTGCAAGTGGCATCTGTGAGTTGGGGAACGAGGTGGTGAGTGATACGAGAGACATACCTGGTGCTTGAAGCGTTGTCGCACTTTTTTCCAGTCGGGCCACTTCGGGCGACCGGAAAGCCAACAGGCTGTCACGCAAGATTTTTGGATGTGTTTGCAATAAATAAAATAAATTAAATAAGCAAATCCCTTCCTGTTGTGTGCGTCCGGCTTCGAGCAAGACCCTTCAATTACGATCTTCGTCGGACCCCGGTCTTAGGAATCTTTGATTGTGATTCGGAACAGCAATGATAAAGCAAATAATAATAATTAAAACAAATATGCCTTTTAGGAATTTGAGAACTGTGACATGATCAGCAAAAGAGAACATAACCATCAAGCAATGTCAAGGAGGAGATCAAGACCGACTGACTCAAGGCAAAGACAAGATGAATGAGGGAAGAATGAGAACTCATAATAATCTCAGAAAGTACACATAAGCAAGCATGGTCAGCACCTTTCAAGAGTCCTCACTCATCCCTCTAGGCAGTCTTTCTTAATCTCTCATCTTGTTGTTTATCTTTGGTGTTGTGACCCACGCCCACGTACAGTCTGAGATTGAGGCCTCGTGACAAAGAGCCACATGAAGCCAGCAAGCTCTGAACATGACCATCTGAGATACATGACACGGAAGTTAACCATGGAGGAAAACTCCTCCCACAATGTAGGCAGCCCGCCCGTCCGGGATGATGATTGAGCATGTTGGGTCTTGAATTCAGCGAGTTTAAGAAGCCAGACTCAAACAGTATTGCATTTGCTCTCGATCCGATCACCCAGCCTACGCCTATCACTGATCTGAGCCCCTAAGTCAATACTCTTTTATTTCCTCTCTTTCTTCCTTTTTGTGTAACGTCTTGATTAATGTAAATTTTGAGTCGAAATATTCAAGAGCGAGTATTGGAAGTAGTGGGGACTAAGGACTTTTGCCTCAGTGTCAATAGAGTCAAGTTTTATACAAGAGCTTGAACTTTGAACTGTTGACTCAACCGGCTTGGCAATCACGGTAAAGAGAAGGGGGCGAGTGAGCGGTTCTCAAGGAAGAGAGCGGCTCTAACACGGCTCGCTATATACTTTACCTTTCATACTGTAGTTGATGGGCAAAAATCAAGCGTTACTGCGAAGGGTGGCTTATGCATTGATGAAATACTTACTGGACAAAGACTGATGAGTGTAGAAAAGGTCTATTGAGTTCAACCTCTTGTCAGCAACGTCTTTTGCCACGCCGGACTTGTTTTCCTCTGTTTGTGTGAACTCTGAGAATTTTTGGCGATGCTAGAAGTGGCGGATACTAGCCTAGGGGTCACTAAGAAGGCAACCGGTAGTAATACTCTTGGACATGCCCAGATAGAATGCCTGGAAAAGGGGGAGCATTGCACGCACGAATGGAAACAAGGAATCATTATTAGTCTTTAGCTAAAGTTAACTATGGGAAGCCCATTTGTGATAGTGTGATGCAGTTCACTTAGAAGAGAATTACTGTCAGCATTGATCTTCGTTGCTTGAGGGAAGGCAGCCTTGATAGGTCGTGGTCTGACGCACGATGAAGGTTGAAACTGCGTAAAAGTGCAGTACACGACTATCTCCATTACTTCATGCGTGGCATCTGAACATGGGAGAACCCTTGCGCTTCATTTAAGAACAACCTTTATTTCTTCCAGGCAAAACAATGCAAGACTTGGTGCTACTCTGTGCCCCAGTGTTGAACCGGTGTTTAGTGGACATTGGTGATTATCCGAGTTTCTCAGACACACAAGCAGCATTCATTCAGCGTGCTAACTGTGTCATTTCTGATCGGAGAAGCGGTTGTCCTGAACCGATAGAACCCTGCAGGGCTGGGCTGATACGCACACCTGTTTTGAGAGCAACAGTCGATATCGGATTGAGGGTCGTAATAAGACCTTTTGCGACGTGATCGACTAGTCTACCGGGGCTTAGTACCTGCTGGGACTATGAGGGGCGACGAGATCCTAGTGGTAAAAAGCGGGGTGGTTATGGAAAACGGGGATAATTGGGAGGACGGTGCTATCCTGAGGATGGAAAGTCAAAAAAGGACTTTGAGAGAACATGCAGTCCAGAGAGTTCAGGGAGAGAGGTATATCGAATACGTTTCCTATTTTTATAGTCGAGATGGTAAGCTGCATAGCATCGGCTCTCCACTATAGACAGTGGAGCAAGCCAAAGCAAGGCTCGGGTAACTGCAGAATGTGCCCCAACTTTTACTATTGGTAACCCCTGTTGCCGAATATCGCTTAGAACCCCGTTCCCTATTCAGCGTATCCCCTGATCAGCAAGTGAAAAGGACAAATCAACTTTTCCTAATCAGCAAGTGAAAAGGACAATCAGCTTCCTGACTGACATGCAACAATCAATCCGTTTTCAAATCTGCAATTAATCAGTTCTCGGAAATCCGTTTTCGGCAACCATTCAGATCAGTGTTCAGTAATCTATTTTCAGAAATCCGTTTTCAACAACTATCCAAGCCAGTTTTCAACTGTCATTCAAATTAGATCATCAGCATTTGACTAGCATTTAATCAAATCCATAATCAGCATCCGGACAGTGCTCAACTAGTACTTGATCAGCAGGCATCTCAACAGTACTTAGCCCTTCTGTTGACTTTCGCTGGCAGTGCGAAGTCGTAAGGAACCAACAATTATTAGCGGTACATTTTGATCCAAACCTGCAGAGTGACCACAGACTAAAATGACAAGAAAAAAAGGCAGTTTAAGAAGAGCGCGCGTGACCAGATCATTCACGTTCGCCCAAACAGACTCTACCAGATGCAAGAGATTACCACAAAGTTTTCACGAACGTGCCACAATGCATCAGAACCCACTTATCTTACCACTGTTCACTTCCACAGCGTTAGGACAGAACTCACTAGAAAAGTAGGAGGGTTGTGATCAGTGAGACTGGTGGCGAGAAGGCATTAGCCCCTATATTTTGATTCCTCGCTTTATACGCCACTCAGACTAGTCAGACTGGATACCCGAGTTTACATTACCAGCTTTTTGCGCTCTCAATCACTTCCATTTTGAGAAAAGGTAGTTAGAATGACTATGGCACAGCGTCATGGGAAAGGCTCAAAAGGTATCCACAACGTTAATCTCATAACTTCCATACATGCCTTCGAACCTCACTCTTTCTTCCCGTAGCTGTCACAAAGTTTACCCAGCATCTCTAGACCTCAGCTCGGAACCACCCTTCAGAGGAGAGCAAGGGAACCCGTTAACTCTCGTCCAAAGTCATTCACGAGGCGCTTGGCGCACCGACGAGCACATGAGTTCCTCCACTGATGACCGAAGAAGCACAGCGACGAAGCAACCAAACCTCATTCCTACCAAGAGTCAGCATTGTCGCAGGCAACAGAAAAGAGTCTTCTCTCAACTATCCTTCGGTAATCATCCGTAGTAAGAATAGTGTCGCGTTTAATCAACAACTCCTGGGAGTTGACACAATAACGGTGACCATGACCCAACTCTTGATTAGTTATGACAATCAAGGTCGAGGCGCAGGGATGAAACATGTAATAGAAGACTGTGAGCAGAAAATGTCAAGGGTGGAAAACTGAGGACAATGCTCTAACCTTGTCCTCGGACTATAGTATCATCACCTTGCCGCTCGAACGACTCATGGATTTCAAGAAAACACGAAGCTCAGTTGCCAATACTCAGTGGGAAGACAGTCGTATCGACTAGCTAATGCTACGTTTACCTTTTGACCATTGCCACTGTGATCAGATCATCAAGAAATATCGTACTCAACCTTCTCCACAGGCCCAGACTCTAGCTACTAAGTCTCATCCCACTTTCCAACAGCTACAAGCATACTCGGTTCGTGTCACTTCACTCTCAACTACAAATTGATACACCGCAACGCCAATCAGTGGTCGACGGCGAGCAGTACGAGCTAGACTGACCAGAGCGAGTCGCCCCGAGCTTATACAAGGGCACTATTTTGCAAACTGCCTACCTCACTCTTTCCTTCATCACAGAGACTAGTATCATCAACCAGGTAAACCATCCAGTTATATTCAGCGGTTATCACACTACCAATTGTGTATTCGGGCTCGTACCATCCAACGCGCCCATCAGACCATATCATGGTCTGAGCGGATTTCTAGTAGCTACCTCGTGCCAAGAAGTGACGGAACTCACTCATTTGGAGTGAGTGGGATGATATCAACAACTCATCTCCTTCTCTGTACTCTGCTCTCTCTCTCTGCGTATTGACTTACCTTCCATTCTTTTTCTCGAGCTCATCTCCCTACAAAACATTCACGCATGCTCATAACCGTTTCCATAGCCCATTTCTCATGTCAGCGCGCGGCCTCTGGACCATGCCACGCGTATTTTCTCCACGTGCGTAACTGCCGCGTGGGCCCGTCCCGCTTTCGCTCAGTGATCAGTGCCCTTCTCTGACTCACGGACCGTGACACGTGTAACCTGTACGCGCGCTCCCCCGACACAAGCTCAGTCCCCCTCTTAACTAGGGTCCCCCGTCTCTATCGCGTGAGAGTGCGTGCCCTTGTGTCACTCGTACCCACTCGTACCCTCTTACACTGAGCGATCAGCCTTCGGCACGCGCACCACACTTGAGCGTGAAGGACAGCCGTTGACGTCACCTGCATTGTCGCGGTCCGTGTCCGATTACCACACCTCTCTTCTCATTTGACTCTCTCTCTCTTTCTCTCTGGACTGTGCCCCCTCAGACCTGTCTTTTCCCCCTGCTCTGCTTCTCACCCGTCCCGCGGCCTCTGGGCGTCAACTGTCGTGAGCTGGCCTCGGGTCCCTCTTCCACTGGCTTCGCGGCTCGGTGATGCCTTTGGATCTCGCCTGGTCTATTCCAGGACCTGAGGTCCGTCTCCCGGTCCCCCGCTTCACTCATTTCGCTCTCCCCACCTGAGTCCCTGTCCAGGTGGGCTTGTTCCAGGTCCGCTGTGTCCATTGAGGTCTCGGTCTCATGATACGAGACCGTTACCTGCAATCTTGCTGTCACTCCGTCCCTCCTGCAACGCCTCTCCGCACGGTCTTTCGCCTCCGTGATCACGTCCTGTAGTTTTCCATCAGTCCGCATCTCCACCTCTTTAGCCCCTTCTACGTTAATTTTCATCCTCACCTCGTCACCCCCATCGTAGTTGAGCATAACTGTGATCCAGGGCCCTTCCCCAGACATAGGCTTCCAACGGGCCTGGTGGTACCAGTAGCCAGGCCTGTATCCATACAACGCCATAGTTTTCACTCAGAGTAGGAGGTCTGGCCTCCAAGAATAGGCCCTCGGCTCGCACAGACACCCACTATTTCTGCCTTTATGATCTCAAGCCAGCTGCGCCAGCACAACAAGGCGGCCAGCTGATGCCCTCCAATTGGCCGCCAGATAGCCAACGCTAGTGCTCTGTCCACACTCATACCCGCGAGCGGGTGATGGCTAACCAGACAGACCCGTCAAAAACAGAGGACCTCAGCGAGCTACCAACACCCTACTCGCAGCACGATAGCCTCACTCGCTTGCCGGGAGACCCAAGGACTCTCTTTTATAGAACTTAAGAGAACAATGACCCCGGCGTGCTGAAGAAAACTCAAATAATAATTTAAAAGTGTATAATTAATGGAATAAATATAATCTTAAACGATTTTTTTTTTTAAGAGTCGGAGTTCATAGCCCAACGGTCGTAGTACAGACTAGACCTCTCGCTACTGTCACCCCAGAACTCCGCAACGCTACTACTGGCCAACAACGGCAGTGAGGTGGTCCCATAACGGGATACCAACCAACTATTTCCTTCCTAATAAGAGCACCAGCGCGCTACCCCTGACGGGTACCCACGTCCGATGGCAAGGAGGGGGTTTATGACCCTCTGCAGAGGGTGATATTCCTCCTACCAATGCGGCCGCGGGTGCTCCTCTTTTGGGGCCTCACCGCGCGGCGCTCAATCGAAGCTCACCCACAGAAGGTATACATGAGGTCAGCCAACTTAGGCTGTGGACCACTGAACTCGAAATTCGAACCGTTGGCCTTCCTGCGAAGCGACAGGCCAACAGGGGAAAAGAAATTGAAAATATGAAAGTCAGGTAATAATAATAATAATAATAATAATAATAATAATAATAATGATAACAGTAAGTCAGAAACGGAAAGGAAATCGCAGCATCACAGTGGCCTGAGGCCACTGGATTTTTCCCGAACTAAACGAGTTCAAATTCGGCGCTTTATTTTCCCCTTTTTTTTTTCTTTTCCCTTTCTAATCGGCTACTTCTATTCCGTGCACTTAACCCATAACTCTGTAGAGGGGCGCTTGACGCGCAGTTGAAAAGACCGAACTTTCTAATCGGCGACTTCTATTCCGNAAGACCGAACTTTCTAATCGGCGACTTCTATTCCGTGCACTTAACCCATAACTCTGTAGAGGGGCGCTTGACGCGCAGTTGAAAAGACCGAACTTGTCATTTCACCTCCGCGTCCCAGGGCAGACCCGGCGGCTACCACGGTAACAGGCCGGTCGTGCTCTGCTGTACAGCAGGGCGCCGAGCCTGTGTGGACCAAAGGAAGGTCCTGTGGCGCACCCTTTTGTTGAGGGCAACATCACAGGGACTGGTCCGCGCCGAGGTATAGCCTGGATACCAGGAACAGCAGAGGTCCAGGACACGACTATAGGCCGGAGCATCGGAGCGAGGACTGGTACCAAGCAGGGACTTGGTACACAGAGGAGGGCTGGGATACCGCGCCCTCCGACAGCGTACGGCATTGTCTGAGATCTGCTCGTACTTCGGGGAGCTGTTGACGTCATCAGCGACATTGTAGAGTAGGCTAGATATGATCTGCCATCTGTAGTCTGGGCGCCGAGCGCCAGACAGGATATCAACATTGGTTCTTCGTTGATGATGATGAGACTATTCCAGCATTGTCAATTATGAGCTTTGGTGTGCTCTTATTTGGTGAAACTCGTGATGCAATTCTGCTATTGGTTTGAGGTCACGATTATCTGGTCTCATGTGTATGATGCTGTTTGAATTCTGAAGTTCGCTATTGCTCATCTTCCTTGCATATCATAACTCCGTGAAAAAAAATGCCACACACAGCTGTCAAGAAACCGCCCGAAGGCTTAAGTGGATAACGCAACCTTATTGTGACCCTTTGATTATAATCGCAATAGGATGTGAAATGATCGTTGCCCACGAAATGCACAATGAAAAAATCATGGCGACCTTCCTTCTAGGTGTATGCAGATCGGTCGTTCGTGGCAGACATTTTCTTTTGCTGACATGTTGCCTGCTTCATGTGGAGGTTGGTCCCTTGAATGTTCTGTAGGTCCAATGAAGCTTCATGTGATACTTCAGGGAGACCTGAGAGAAGCATCGCCGGATGGGTTTGTTGCAAGTCGAGAGAACCCCCTGAAGATGGCAAAGGTTGGACTCCTCGTCTGTTTTTTTGTTTGACTTCGTTTTTGGCTCTTGCCACTTGGCCCTTTTCTATTTCTCCTCCTTCACAAAACTTTTACTACCCATTGTATCTCAGTCAGAAATATGCGTTTCGTGTTCCTCTGCTCAGAGGGGGGGGGGGGGGGGGGGGGGTCTGAGAATTTGGGAACATAAGTGCAAACAACAACACATGCATACATGAGATTAGACACGAATAAAAACACACACAATGCCCAGGGCATCCTCTTCGGGAGACGGGGGGACCTAATACCCTGTTTTTTTCAGGCATGCTGTGAAATCAGAGGGGTCAAGATCGCCTCGTCATGGCTGGGTGTCTCGGATGTCACCGTGCTAGATGAGCAGGGTGGCCAGGGACCGCTTGCCTGGGTGGGCAGGCCAAAAAATCTTCTTAATTTGGCAAAGAATTTCAATGTGAATCTGAGGCAAACGTTTTCCAGTTTCTCTTTTCAGAATGCTTTTCAAAGTTTTCATCCTTCCCTAACGGTACTTCTTCTCTATCGGTCCCTCGCACGTATTTAGCCTTGGATGGGGCTTACCAAGTTCCCCCCCAATTGGGGCTGCATTCCCAAACAATCCAACTCTTCAACAACTTGTCACGTTCCGTTTTCTGCACAACATAAGGGTGAGAATTCACACCTACACACGATCAAAAGATCGAAGTCTGGTAATGAACGACATCAAGCTTTTAGAGTAGGTACAATCCAAGAGGCTGCAAGTGGCGACGACTCAAGAAAAATCTCCCAAACCCTCCACCTCTCTTTCCCTCTGACTGTTCCGCCACTTCTCCACACTCCCAAACCAGGCAAGCGCCCGGTGCCATGTCGAAAGAGGACTATACTGTCACTTGCATTGACTATTTATAGTAGGTTCCTAGTCAAAGTCGCCGCACAACATAGTTTTTTTTAACTTTTCCTGGTTATTTAGGTTTTTTTTCTTTTTCTTTTTTTTGCAGGGACCTTCCATGGGCCTTGCCTGGCCAGGCCACCTGGTCAACCATGGTGACCTAAGCGGCCTGGTTGTGTAAAACAGGGTTGCGAGGAATTATGCAAGGAAGATGAGCACTAGCGAACTTCAGCAATCAAACAGCATCATACATATGAGTCCAGATAGTTGTGACCTCGAACCAACAGCAGAATTGCATCACGAGATTCACCAAATAAGAACACACCAAGAGTTCATAATTGACAATGCTGAAATAGTCCCATCGTCATCAACGAAGAACCAGAGTTGATATCCTATCTGGCGCTCGGCGCCCAGACTACATGTGGCAGATCCCATCTAACCTACACTACGATGCCGAAAGATGACGTCAACAGCTTTCCCGAAGTACGAGCATATGGTGACCAATGTCGCATGCTTCCAGCACCACGTATGTCT